CAATTTATTGCTTCTTTTTTATAATCTTCTCTTTCAATCCTGTTTTGTCACTCGCATCGTGTTCTAAAAGACCATTAACTAAGGTTGCTTTTAATTCTTCTAGATTATCGAATGATAGGAGAGACTCTTGTGCTTTTATTGTATCGACTAATTGTTGAACTTCTTCTAGTTTTGATAGAGATTCTCGTCGTTTCTTTGCAATATTATGCCTTCCTTTTTCTTCAAGATTCTGAGCTTCTTGTTTCTTTTTGACTATTTCCTCTTCTAACTCTTTTTCATCACTAATTTCGAGCTTGTGCAAACCATCTCGTAACTGTTTCTTTAGTAATGTACACAGTTGCAGCTGAGAGTGGTTATTAATTGAGAGTACCGAGTCACTAGTTGCAGTACTACAGAGCTCTTTCATAATTTCTTGGTGAGTGCTTAAACAATAGAAATAATTTTCCTTAACTTCAGACTGAACATATGTTCCTGGTTGTTCGTTCTCATCCATTTGCTGTTCTATTCGGGATTGCGTTTTCAAGGAATGTCGTATATGCTGGTTTTTACAAGCTATCCCTACATTATTAGATGCGTTGTATGACTTACTGAGCTTGTTATCATTACATGGGAGTTGTGATAATATTTCATTGGTGAACATGTGATTCTGACAATCAAACTGCTGATCTTCCAGTACACAAGTTTGGCTTTGTTGTTCGTCAGCAATACGATTCTGTAAATCATTGGTATTTTGATATGACATATCCGTCAGTAGAGACTCTTCGACACTCTTTATTAAATTTTGAATGATTAGTTGTGCACTCTTTTGAGGATCTTCATGCTTTTGTAATTGTTTCGAAGATAAAATCACACCAGGGTGGAATTTAGCAATTTCTTTTTGAATCTTATCAAGATCGAATTTTGAATCCCTTACTGGGTCAATAAATTCAGCTCGCCGAATTTGTCGGTTTTCTTTAAATTCTATGAATATTGCACTCCAATAAAAATTTTCCAAATTATATGGAACAAGTAGAATAGGTTCTTCAATATTATTTGTGACACTCTGTTGCAATCGTTGTACCAATTGATCGTCGCCGCCAGCATCAACGGGTTGTAGTATATGAATTGGTTTTGGAAAACCTTGAGAAAATTTCTGCAGTCGTACTTTGTCTAATTCTTTAGTCAACCAATTATGAACTGTTACATGTTCATGAGTTGAGCCATCAAGTTCTGTCTCAATATCCAGCCCTTTTAAATGTTCTTTTGCTTGGAAGTTCCCCATATTGTATAGCGAAAAGTCAAGATTATGAAACTGTATAGAAAACTTTCTACAATAGAATATTTTCGTCAATATTTAAAGTTAGCGAGATCGTCCTATTTTCATAGTTCATGCATTATTGAACCCATGAAAACTATCAAAAAATTGATAAAACTTTTCCAAATCTCGTTTATAATTGCTTTTATCAAGTGTAAATAAACAAGTAACACTTGTTTGTGTGACTTACTTGATCATCAACCGGGTGTGGGGTGTGGGTGTGGGT